GATGGGACTGTGTGTGCGTGTGTGTGTGTGTGAAATGTAGTACTACCTCCTCCCTTAAAGAATAGTGTCGTGTCTTCCTGCACGCTCGCCCCTTATTCCCCCTCTCTAATATTTTTCTCAACCCTCCGCTATCGCGGGCAGACAGCCGTGCGATTCCGGAGATCGTTCAAGAGGGGCTCTCCTATACCTGCCCTATGAGTGCAACAAGGACGGAGCTATACGGGAGGAATAGGAGAGCCTCTCTTGAACGATCTCCGGAATCGCACGGCAGCTTTATCCGAACCGACTCACTCTAAACAAAACAATCAAATTTGGAGGTAGGTTTCGGACTATTATTGTGATCGGTTCGCGGGAAAAACGGGGACAACCGATTTGTTCTGCAGCTTACAACAACCGTGGCTGGTGAGAACCAAGAGCACTGCAAGTAGTCGGATGTATACGAGGCGCTCGTATTGAGTGAGGTTCTAAAATCTCATTAAAAATATGAGAGATTAATGTGAGGAACGTCACCGTCCCTGTTTGTTGGTAGCTACACAGTTGTAGTTACAACCACCACGGCCACAGGCAGCTTTATCCGAACCGACAGTAGAAATGTGTACGCTCGGCGTCGTAAATGCTCACGCCCCTCGCCCCCCACCCGGAAAGAAATTTACAAAATGGGGGAGTACTCTCCTCCAATTACGGCGCCGAGCGGACTTATTTCTCCAGTCGGTTCTAATAAAGCTGCCAGTGGCCGTGTCAGTTGTAGCTACAACTGTGTCGCTTCAAACAGGGACGTGGCCCCCGACCCGTGCGTACTGCGTGGCGAACGCCGGGGCAAGTTGTGGTTGAGGGCGACTGGAGGGTAGGCAATCAGTACACAAGCTATCCCTTAGGTTTTGGAGGGGGGAGGTGCCCAATTTTGTTAGATTAGAGGGCCTTTTCAGGAATTATGTGCAAAACAGGTCCTTGCCTTCTGCTTATACACCCTGAAGACTACGGATTACATATTACTCAAAAAGGGATGTTCTATAGTCGGATCGGATGAAGCTGACTCTGGCCGCCGGCATTGTGGGGGGCAATAGGCAGGGGATTGTAAATACGCCGCCGGCGTGCCGTCGCTCGTCCGCGCGAATAAAGACGCGCCTCGCACTGTTAAAATCCTGCGAAGTATTTTGCTCCTTTGTAACTACGAAGCATTTACTTCGCAATTACAACGTGATGCTTTGCAATTACGAAGTGACACTTTGCAATTGCAAAGCGATGCTTTGCAGCGTTCTATTGCTTTGCAATTGCAAAGCATCACTTTGTAATTGCAAAGTAAATGCTTCGTAGTCACAAAGGAGCAAAATACTTCGCAGCTCTGCAAAGCAAATGCTTTGTAGGAATTTAACAGTGCGACTCAGTCGCTTGCGCAAGAGGGTAATGGGAGTCAGTTGTCGCAGTTGCCGACTGTACTCCGGGTGTACTCCTGGTGTACTCTGCGCGCTCCGACCGGCAATACTCAGTGTTCTCCGACTGTACTCCGTGTACTCCGTACTCCTGTGTACACGAAAAATTCAAGTCGCCCACCCCTCCCCTCGGTGAGATGTCTTGCACTATCGCTCTTTATCGAGCGAGGAAGTCGAACCTGAAGGTCTATACGATGGATACGTTGGGTGTCAAGATGGGTGGAGAGAGGAGGCTTGCCTCAGATTCAGAGACCTTACCTCGGACCTCGGAGGGTATTCGAACCCGAACCACAGAGTGCCGAGTCAGACAGAGTCGTCTACCATCTACCACGTCCACCACCAACGCTACCCAGAGGAATAATGTCATGTGACATCTTTTGACGTCATATTTCTCGTAGTCAAAATGACTTAATTTTGACATAATTTGACAAAAATGTGAAAATGTAGTCATATTGACTGTCAGAAACGACGTTAACATTCTTCTGTCCTCTGGATCACCACCTGTTTGACTTCTAGAAGAGGCCAAGAAGCTCTGAGATAAGTTCTTATTTTTACACACTCTGTCCATTTGAAGGTTGATCCAATTGAAACGTCGTCGTCGTCAAGGCAGGAACGTATTTTATTACCTTTGTGTATTGCGATCACAAATTACATGACATGTCTCTTTCAGAATAGAACAGTGCACAGCACCATTATGTCTGATCAATAAGAGATACAATGAAAGATGATAACGAAAAAAACAAAAAAAAAAAAAGGTGATTACAGTGGGGTAGAGGTAGAAACCTCAAAAATGTCTTTAGTACCTGACTTAGGTCATCATCAAACACAGAAACTGAACAAAGAGAATTACAGGGAATTGACGTAACTTTTGCTTCAAACTCTTCAAAGCGGTTAACAGATCTGAAAAATTATACAAACCAGCATAGCAGAATGAGATTCAAAGAGATTAACTAACTCAGCACCATTAAAATTTGCCTTACACATTTACACATTTAGTATCCTACGAGAACAGCATGTGCCACTTTTGAGGATTGGATTAGATTAAATTCACCTAAAGCATGACATGCATATTAACAATATATATTCTTTAAAAAGTTTTCAATCTGTACAAGTAACATACAAAATTACAAAACTTACAGTGATTGTAATAAGAAGCAATCCTCCTTCAACAGTCTTACTAACTCAGAGCACTCCTCCTATACAATATTGATACAACATTCAAATTCAAATGGTCCAATTAAATGTTTGATAGTAAGATACAAATAACACCTTTATAAACAACCATAAGGAATAGTTCTGACCAGAATCCCACAATTTACACAGAGAAGTAGTACAAGTGCAAATAGCAATACTTACTCACTTCACTATTGTATTCAGACACAAAACCTGACATGTTTAGTCCGAACTCAAATCTCATCTTTCCAGCTGACTGAGTTGTTGACTTATGTGTGTTTGTTTCTTGTCTAACAATTACTCCTATAAATATTGAGCGGTTTGAGTAGTCTGAATTATTACTCATAGAAGAAAACAATGAATTTAACATTAAAATAGTAATGGAAAGGCTAGAGATTACTGTAGGATTCCTTTGAAAAATGGTTATTTGGGGTGTCCAGTTTTACTCCTGAACACTGATTCACCTGTCATGTGTCATGTACTACAAAATGAAAAGGTCACATTTTATCCAATACATAAAACTACTACAAAACATGTACATACATACATCACATCAATTACTAGATTCAACATGAAAAATGTACACAGAATTTACAAAAAAGGGTGAATCCTAACAGAAGTAAATAATAAATTCCTTTCTTACACGAACCACTACTCCAAACAAAAAATAAATAACTATGAGAAACAAGGAAAAAGTAGTAGGTAAGAAACATTAAAGAAACACACTTCAGTTGGGACTTTAGTTAAGCATGATAAGATTTCATACTCTTTAACTACTGTAGAACTTGAAATGTTTTTAACATAGTTTTTCCTAATCATTTAGGAAGCAGGAAACTCAAAAAACAAAAATTAAAAACATCACATCTACACATTTAGGCAATTATTTCAAATCAAATCAAAGCTTGGCTTCAAATGTTTATCACATAAAGTAGGGATGCATATTTATGATATGTGCAGCATTTCTTGAAGGACACATCACATGGCACAGTGAAGAAGCCACAAAAGCAGCACTCGGTTTTAAAGTACCATAGACCATAGCTTAGCACCTGGCTTGAAATACTGACTTTTTATGAGAATTGAGTTTCTCAATTTCGGCACCAAATTTTGCAGTAATATGTAACAATGAAGTCCACAATTACTTAAATAAAAAAAAATGTGCTGTTGAGGTCAACAGTTTGTTCCAAATTCTAAAATTTCCATAACCGACTTTAGACTGACACACGACACTGAAAATTACAGAATCTATGTTGCACAGACCAAGCAACTGTCACATACGTGTAAAATGCTGAGACACAACAATCTGCACTTACTCTTACTTAAAATTAAACAAGCAAATGATAAAAGTAACACAAAATCTTTGGCACAGCACACATTGTGTAACCATACACAATGGGTGACAATACACTCAAACTCAAATTCTATTTTCTTAAAAGTCTAATACAGGACTATACCACAGCTTAGAAAAGCAAAGAGGTAAGAAATTCAGAACAAAGCACTATCACAAAAACAAATTCCTGGCAACCATTTGCATAGAAATATGCACACAGTAGGAGAATCTTCAATGAAAATTTGGCAGAACAAGCCAAATAAATCACTTGAGGTAAATTTTTGAAGTGAGATCAAAATCAAATAAAAATTGAAAAACAAAACTGTCTACATGGCAAAATTAACATAAGAAAGGAGCCGAGAATGGAAAATTTGGTTACAAGGAACCAAAATCATAAAGCTTTAATTTCCAGCAAACTTTCAGTCATAGATGGGTAATCCAATCTAACTCTAAAATTATTTCTTCCAATGAGCTGGAGTGAATTTGTTGACGTAAAAGTTCACAGCCCAAACAGCAGCATGTTGATTGGCACCAGCAAGATACAGTTCATACATTTAAACATTAGAAAGCCCATGACCTGAAAGTGTAATAAGAATGTTAAAAGAGAGGACCAAGTTGCAAGGTTTTATCAGTAGACACAAAACAAAACCGAAACAAACCTTAGGAGTTGAGAGAATGAGCAGGAGACCTCGGGGTGTGGAATCGCATTAATTCTGCAACTGTAATGGCAACCTGAACAAGACCTCTTCCCTCCAGAACGTCAGCAGCACAGCACACCAAGTTCTACAACAAAGACAAAATTGTAGGTTAAAATAATGAAAGAAACAATAATTTTAAATTAATCACAATTTAAAAAACTACTTCTTCAATGATGAACCACACAGAGTGCATGAATTTGTGTTGCTTCTTCACACAGTGCTACACTGTCAAAATACTTTTTTGTCTAACAGGACAGACTTTAGAATAGAAAATATCATATTAAAATGAACCAATTTGAGAGAAGGTGGAGCTGGTAGGATTTCCAAAACCAGCGATCGAAACACTTTTACGTAATAAAGCATAGTGTGGAGTCAAGTAACATGAATGTCTTTTATTTCAAATTTTCCCCCCATAAGACTGCCATTACATCTGTTTTGAAATTAAATGACAACATTGGTTAAGTAAGTACACATCATTAAAGACAAAAATATACCGTATGTATATAGCCTCCTACAGCATTCCTAAAATTACAATTGTCAAGTGGAAAATATCTTAAGCGAGGCACTAGCAACGTTTCATACTTTGTAAACTGGTGAAGCATTGAAACCAATGACACAAGGAGTTTAAAATCAGGGTGAATCAGGAAATCTAGTGAACAATATTTTAAAATTACATTGAAATTACATTAAGGAAGTTTCTGAAAACAGTGTTCACAGCAGAACCAGCCTGCCAACAGCCACTACTTTTTCTAACACATAGTCAGTCATAATTATGCCACAGAAAACAACTTAAAACAAATTCAATTGAAATTGAAATTCCAAGTTTACATTTGTAACTGTGATCTCAATTTGATAAGCCAACCAGAGCACGCAGTGAAGAGAATAGGTATTCAAACAATTGCGTTCTGGTTCTTAAATTGTGTCGACATAATCAATTACAGTATATTCATGGCACATTAGCTGAGGTACACTGCGAGCTGTCAGAGAAAAATTTAAAATCAGATAGGCAAGTGGTTAAAATTGAACAAAAAGGACACAATCATACTGAACGCAGAAAGCATGGAACAAAAGGCGCACGTGAAGTAGAGGATTTGTAATTGAGTTTACAGACCCAACTATCCACCATCCAGTCTTTCATGGAATCAGTGCACATGGGCAGGACGAATATGTGCGTACAATGAATAATTAAAGTAAAAGAAGTCCAGGAATGCTCAAAAAGAGAAGAAAAATATAAAATTTTCACATTTATGAAAATATTGACACTAATACACATTTCTTTACCAGGCTGTGAAGCTACATGAGCAACACATATGTAAAATAGTTTTCCTGCCTAAAATCAAAATAGATACATATATTTTTTTTCTAATGGGAGCAATAATGCTGCCCAGTCAGTGCAATCACAGGAATAGAATAAACTCACATGTGTTCCCTCTTGGAAAAATCAAAATGTTACATTACGCAACACAACATGCTTTTCAATTTGATACGTCGCCAAAAGTCAGACAAAATAAATCACTTGAAGAGGATATAAAACTAAATTACAGTAGTCTGCACTATTGGACTAAAATTGTATTGCATCTTAGTAATCAAAATTAAGTAGGACAAAAATATTTTTTTACAAACAATCTGAAATCCACAAAAGGTGGTCCTGTGTCTAGACAAACATATAGGCTACAAAGGAATGACAATTAAGAGGAAACAATGTTGTTGATATATTAGTTACTGACTAAAAAATCACAAATCTAAGGGGAGGGGGGTCAAGGGAAAATCTAAATGGAAATGTGTTTTCTTTGGAAGAGCAGGAAAAGACAATTCCAGGAATTTAACACACTACATAAAACCTTAAGGGTATGGCATATAGACATAAACCCATGGATAGGAGTCCTTGTAATTGTACAGTCCTACCTTGAATAGTTTCTAACTAAGAGAAAAAAAGCAGTCATTTTTATAGTTTCTTTTCTAAATACACTACACAAGCACAAAAATTAGAATACTGCCAAATTAATAATGCTTTGTACATCATTGAAGTCTTAAGTTTACTTGGTGGAATACTAACAATAAGGACTAGACAAGTCTTGGTTCCAAAATAACACAAAGTAGTAGTTCATAGCTAGTGGCTTGACTAGGGGACAGCCATAAGAAAAATAGCTGCAGTTGAAAAATAGGTAGGTGAGGTGAATTAGTACCTATCACGGCTATCGAATCCAAGTCTATGGAAGAGAAGAAGTGAGTACAGTTCTGATGTTCACGGTAACAAACAAACAAATTCTTCCTAGTCATGATACCTCATCACTAACTTCCTGCAACAGCGAATTATTTACAGTCAGGGCATATTGAAATACAATAATGGATGACATGGCAAGGCAAGTACATCTCTTATGCCCCCAATTTTTTTTTTCTTTTGTTAATTCCCTGGGAGCAGGAGGATATTTAACTCACTTTAATAAATAATGAAAGCTCTAAACTACATCACACACATGAGCTTACAACTACAGTAAGAGGCACATAAATTTAACATAGATACATTTTGATACCTTTAAAATTCACTGATGAACAAGAACTTAAGTACACTATTCACATTGGAAAAGCCTGGGAAAGAAACAAAATACAAATTGGAGAGAGTAAAGGAGACTCTTTGACAAGAGCAATGAGTTGAAAACAAACTTCCCCTTTAAACATAAAACCATGTGGATGGAAGCACAAAATCTGACATTTCAGCTGACTCATTCATAATCGCAGCTTATTCTGGTAGATATCACAATTGATTTAGGCTTATGAAACAGCGTTGAAATAATAAATAAATAAGCTCAATACTTGTAGATTTAAAACCTTAAATAAGGTGGATATTAAAATATATTATAATGCACTTTTTTTATCACACAGATTGAGTCAAAGTTCTCAAAACAATTAAAATATCTAAGATAAAATTAGAAGGCAATAAAAATACCACATTCCCAATACCAAGCATAACCATCACCAAGGTTTACAGTACCAAAAAAAAAATATTTTACCACTTCAAAAATAAGAGTGGGCATTCTCACTAACTACAGAAACAGAACATAGTTCATTACGATGTGTGCCTAAGAATGTAGCTGATACTGAAGACAAACTGTAGTACAGAACAAAGCGCAATTTCTTCAGCTGTCATAAATCAAATATTAGTAAAGAATAGTTTATTGTGGTCTTACAAAGCTGCATGTAAGTAATCAGAAAACTTCAAAAACTATATGTTTGGAATTCTGTAGCACAAATACCCCTATTTAAGCTTGTTTAGGGGTAAATAGGTCTAGAATGTGCTGAGATATTTCAGAAATGTCAGGGAAAATAAATCACTTCCTCAAAGGTGTACTTAATTAGGCAATGGGAACAAGTAAAGAAGAACAACTGTAGTTACAAATACAATGGCGCAAAACACAGTGATAGCCGTGTCATGAGGATGTTTCGGCAACGGAGAGTGAACGTAAGCAGCAGTCTCCATTTTCAACAGGTCATCTTTGATAGTTTCTTTTTCAGTGCAGATATCTTCATCACTGGGATCATTGGAGTCGCCTGTGGCGATGTCGAGTAGGCGAAGCACGGTGAGTGCCAGAGAACTCAAACCCTCATCATTCCCCAGCACTACCCCCTCGCTACCGCACATCACCTCCTGCAACCAAGCCCAACCAGCAGCTTTGTCAGTGCAGCCACAAGAGGAGTTTAAACTTGTATTTGGAAGTTCATGGAGCTCAACATACATTTTGGTGTAGAGCCACCAACCAAAATATGTGGCGTTTGCTCATTACCAATAAAATATACTTCCAAAATCAAGGTAAAGAATAGGTAAGGGGCAGGAGGAAGGGGAATCTGTTCTACATAAGATAACCCATCTGTCTGTTACCACCCCTCACGACCGTCCCCTCTCCCCTCCCCCATTAAAAATATCTTTTTAAAAAGAATCCTTTTTGCTCATCATGACTGAGCAATCTCATGCAGCCTTTTGTCACCTACTAGAAAAATAAACAAAACCATCTACTTTGGACTTTATCTGTAAAGAAGCTGGCCTTCTACAGTTAGAGAATTATTTTATAATTGAAAAACTTTATATGGTTGTTGATGAAGTGTTTGGTAGGTTATTGGATTTTGTTCAAAATAAAAATGATATCGGAAACAAAAATAGAAATGACAAAACAGGTAAAAGGGTGGAAAGAGTCAAAGACTATGATACACACTACCTATAAATGGCAAATATAGAACACTCTGCCATTGAACCAAAATTTCTACATAAGCACTAGCATTTTGGCAGTAATCAATGAAAATGATAAAATGCATTACTTTTGATAATGTCAGGAGCACTTCTATCCCAAAGCAAGTGAAATAGGCAGAAGCAAGTCACCAAATTATTTCCTAAGAGATGTGTCATTTTTTATGAAAAGAAAAAGAAGCGCTGCTTGTACCAAGGCCAAGACAATAGATATAAAAGCAACAAGAAGTAATCCTGGCAAAAAAGGCAAGACTAATTAAAAGAAGATCTAAGATGCTGCACACCAATTTAAAATCAGAAATCAGCCTACCAGGAACACAGTTACATTACCAGAATTGCAATTCAGTCCCCCCGCCCCCTTTTAGCCCCAATTTTTTAAATCTACATTTACCATTTCCTACAGAACATTACACAACAGGCTGCAACAGAAACCTACTAAATATATGAGTAATTGATAGGTATCTGACATTTACTTATTCCGCGTCTATAAACAAGTCTTTCTCAGAAAAACAGAAGAAAAACAGTCCAGGAACATGATCATAAATCTAGCACATTAACTCATGTACTTAGTGGGGAGATAACATTACAGGATGGACAGGGACAGGCATGGGTACTACGACATGTGACCGCACAGACATTTTATATAAGACCAGCTGGTTCTTTGGTTAGCAAAGGAGTGAATGAAGAAACTGAACTTACACACTCTCTCTCTTCCTAAATTTTCACATTGACAACATGATCATAACAAGTATTTTTTTTTTCCTTCGAATTACAAAAAGGTTTAACAAAGCATGCATCAAAAAAAGGAATGTCTTTCACATCACTCCATTCACATTTTCCTTATTTCAAAAGATCTTTTAATGGTTGCAGAGATATGTTCCATTAGAAATATCCAATCCATGCACAAAAAATACATCAGAGTCCTTACACACATCTACATTCACATATGGTGCATTTATTCTTTGTTAGTGGCCAAAATCGTTGATGACAAAAGAGAGGGAGCGATCAATGACAAAAATGTGATGCAGTTCTCTTGTTTCTTGAACTATGTAATCAATCACACACTTGAACTGAAGACACCGAAACTGACTGAAGGTAAAACTGCTTCATAAAAACATCTTTAGGTCAAAATTAACAATGAGTGCCACTGAACTTTCCCTTCACGCCAAAACATAAGAGAACATATGTATGATGAAGGGTCTACTATTGTTCTAGACAAAATGACAGAACTTCTAATTTAATTTTTTCCCTATGTTACTTTAACCTACATAAAGAGACAACAAAAAGCAAAGAAATTTGATGGCATTCAAAAAGACGTACAAAACTGACAGTAAAATTAAAAGGACTGACAGCTTTAGAAGAATGATCAGGCATCAGCATACCATACACGTTTAGTTCTAAAATGACAAAGAAAGCAAGCATAAAGCAACAAGCACAACCCATCTAGTATCAGTGTTCAATATGTACAGTGAGATAAAAAGTTCTTAATTATGGTTATTATTGATCTGTGCAGATTAGAGGCTTGCAACGGATTTCAAATACTGTAAGTATTCTTTTCTTGATAATAAAAATTATGATGATTTGGTTGTTTTGGGGTTTACATTTTGCATTATATACAGCATATGTATTTACTGCTACTTCATACATTTGTGATACAAAAATCAAAAGAGAAAAGAAGAAATTAAAACTGCTGATTGACACCAGTTTGAAGCAGAAAGAAACAGAAACTTCAACCCAAAACAAAGGACCAAAAGACGAAAAGTATTGATAATATTAAATGTTGCAAAGATTGGAAAAATTTGACAAAGAGTAAAATTTGACCATAAGACAAAATAAAGAAACAACAGCGAAGCACTTTGAGTAAGTAAAATGTGCATGCTTCAGTTTAAGTTTCAAGATTTCACACAGTATTTTTTCCCCAAATGTTCACTTTCACCACTTACTGATTAATAGTACACAGGATGTAATGGACATCAGGAAATTTAGTTTGGATGGAATGCACATACTTGACACCAACAAGGTATTTTGTACATGTTTTTTTTTTTTCCCTCCCCTATCGTAAAAGGCTCCATAAGATTGCCTGTCCTAACTAGTACTGTTATCTAAAGTAATCTTGCATACAACTATGTATATTGAGGCACTTCTTTCAACTTCATAAATAGCCCGTCTAGACTGAGATACAAGTTAATTATGTCTTCTCAGAGATTTGGTTCAATTTAATATGTGTAGAAAAAAACTAAATTCAAACCCAACAGAGTGGCTACAGATTTGTTTAGGAATATAACGGGAAAGGAGGGTAGGGGTTTGGTCGATTTTGATTAAGAGCACATGGATCTTTAGAGAGAAGCAAAGATATATTTAAAAAATGACAACTTACCTCTTCAACACCGATCTTTCGACAAGCTTCTAAGAAGTTGTCAACATTTCTTCGACAGCGAGCCATAGTTAACTTGGGCTGCAATCACAAGCAGATTAACACAGTTCAGTACACAAATTACGAAATGATTCTATGAGCCATCAATTCATTACAAGAGAATCTTACCACAGCTGGTGATGGCACATGAATGCTGGCAACAGACCGGGGTCTAACATGGTTCGCGAGATGGCACAAAACCACTCCATCAGCAAGAGCAGGGGCCATATCCTCTGGTAAACCCATTTTCAAACGAGTCTCAATTTGCTGAAATTAATTTTAAAAAAAGAAAGCAAGATTAATAATATTATTTAGGCATACTATGTCCTAATTTTGGAAAAATTATACATCATAGAGAAATTTTTGTTTCAACTCAAAGTTACTTACAGTTCGCAGCTGTTTGATGAGCTCAGCCTCCTCTTTGGCCTTTTCAAACTCTCTTCTCATAGTGAAACTCAACTTATCTGGTGGTACATCACGACCCCACCTTACACTTCTTGCACCTGTCAGGAAAAGAAGCAAAAGCTTAGTTAGGGTCACAAAATTAAAAGTGAAGCTCTTACTCAAAACTAAATCAACTGTTACAAAGCCCAACAATTTTGTTTCATATTTTAAAATAGTACCTGCTTTATTGCGATTTGGAGCAGGTGACACATAACCAACCGAAGTAGTAACCAGTCTGGGAATACCTTTCCCAGGAGATATAATTGAATTTGGTACACCATTGACCACACTTGATGTTGGTGAGAGGGGCTTGGTATAGCTGTTCACCGGAGAATCCCCACCACCATTGCTTGAAGTATTATTGCCATTTGCATTATTACCATTAGACAGGGCGGATGGGAAGTTCATATTTCGGGAAGGTGTCACTTTCTGCACAGGCTTCTTTATGATGTTGTTTGAAATGCCATCCACTTGAGTTGGTGAGAGAGCATTGTTGGTCGCAGAGTCTGTTGCAGGTGTTTCATCTTTTGCCTAAAAAAAAGAGAGGAAAGGATTAACAGAACAGTTAAGAGGGGAAGACCAAGGGCAGGAAAACAGAAAGGAAAAATTTAGTTGAAAAGACACATACATGATGACCATTATGGGCAGGGGATGATTGAAGTGATAATGGCCCTCCTTCTGGACTTGGTGGAGTGAGTTCTCCAGGTACTCTTGGTCTGTACACACTGGCTCCTTCCTGGGCACGCTGATTTCGAAGCGCTTCCTTGTATTCCCTGCAGACATTCATGAAGGAGAAATAGATTATTTATTTGTATTTAGATAGTTAAAGCCAAATAAATTAAAGCTCAGCACAGAGCTTGTTGTAAAATGCAGGTTAATGAAAAGACCCGCACAGTCCATGAATACCTTCAGACAAAAGTGGAGAGAAACAAGAGAAGTTTGAGAATTTAAATGTGTTAAAGTGCCTTGGAAGAGGATGACGCTCCAATTGATAGTGGGAAAACAGGAACACCAGAACACTTTTTGTACAGCCTACCTGTAGGTTTGAATGTGCTCCAAGGGTCTTTTCTCTTCGACCAGTCCGTTGCCATTAATAGGGGCTTCAGGAGTGAGTGAATCCGGACTATATTTGGAACTGTAAAGAAGCACAACACAAACTAACAACATATCCAGCTTACTGTACCAGAGCACACAGAATACAAATTAGGTGCCTAACAAGGTCATGGCAATTAATTTTTTCAGTTCATGCAGCATTGCAAAGGCAATGCATGACTTAAAAAAAATAACTATATTGAAAGTTTGACAAGACTCTACAGCCGAATGCTAGACATGAAGCAAAATAGAATTGTGTACTTTTAAAAAATTATTTTTGACTAAAAGATGCTTGCTTTCTAATTTAACTCACAAACAGTTAAAAAAACTAATCACACGATGCTCAAAGAAGTTTGCTATCTAGAGACAAGACATTTTGATATCTAAAAGAAAGAAGGTGCACTTGATTTACATTCATAAGATAAAATAAATAAATCAATAACATGATACCTAGTTTAAAACTGATTCCTTTCAATCATAAAAATAAAAAATAAATGAAAAGTAAAAGTATATGGAGACAATACAACAAATAGGGGATAAAAATCATCCATAAAACCATTGACATGCCGATGACCCTAGGCTTAGAGAAAGAAATTCACACTTACATGTTGGATTTCTCAAATTGTCGCGCATCTGTCCTATCTGATTGTGATCTCTCTAACCTCTTTTTCTCCTGAGGTTCCTAAAAATTAAAGAAGAATTCAAAATAAATTATTAGAATATGCCAATTTAACAAAACATCCAAATTAAAACAGACAGTAAAAAGGAATAAGTCCTACTTTGTCTATATCATCTTCTGCGTCTCCAGGACTGCCCGTAGAAGGAGTTGAAGAGGCACTACCACTCCCGCTGCCATTTCCATTTGTTCTTGTAACTGGCACATTGCCGTTCAGCCTTGTCATTAGCGGTGAGCGCTTGCCCAACCGCTCCTCTCCAATCTGTTCGTGTAAGCCATCCCACACCAACACAAATTCGAATTCTTAGTCTCAGCTTTGTGTGTCATTTGACACCATTGTAATGATGTAAACAAATGAAAAGAGAGACAAATTTTAACTACTTACCCCGGTTAGAACTTCTTGCGACCAGTTGTCAGAAGTACTGTAGCCACTGTCAACAGTGTAACGTTTCTTTTGCCTAGGGTTTCCACGAGGATCAGACAGCTTTCGATGCGTCCGTCTCCATTCATCATTGCGGTGTTTTTTGATATCTGATATAGCTTGAGTTTCCAGGTACTTAAAAACATGAACACGCCCTCTTGCACAAAGCTACAAAAAATCATTGACAGTGTCAAAGTTTGTAAATTAAAACTAGTTTTAGTTTCAATACAATGTATTTTTCTAGTATATTACCTTGGCAGGGGGTGACGTTAAAGGATTGTGACTAAGGTTTAGGTAGACTAAAGAGGTCATAGACCGCAGTTCCACAGGTAAACTTGAAATACGGTTCCCACTAATATCTAGTCTTTCCAATCTCAAATATGTCAGTTCTGTAAGGAAACACAGAAGGGGTAAAAATAAGAAATGGCAATTAATTAGTAGTCAACAAAAGCATTGAAATGAGAAGTGGTAGAAAATGGTATTACCTATAGGTATGTCACAGAGGACATTGTTACTAGCATTTAAATCACGAAGTTCTGCCAGGTCTCCAATTTGAGGGGGAAGGGTACTAAGTTGGTTGCAGGAGACGTCCAATAGGGTGAGGTCTTGTAGCCGCCCCAAGTCCTCGGGTAGACTGACCAGTTTGTTGTTTCCCAAGAGAAGGACCTGGAGAGGTAGCTGGCACACAGCACTTGGAAGGACATTAAGTTGGTTGCGGCTGAGGTCAAGGTGGACAAGGGACTGAAGGTAGACCACATTGTCTGGGATGCAGCGGATGGTATTGTGGTAGAGCTCTAGCCTCTCCAAAGACGTAAATTCGGTAACTTCAATAGGCAGGTCCCAAAACCTGTTCTTCGAAAGATCTGCAACAGATAAAAAGAGAGCAAAACAGTTAGTGGCAGTGTAATTTAAAATGGCGAGAGCAGAGCAACTGTATTATAAGGAAGGTGAGCGGGTATGTCGAATAGTCACGAGCTGCATGTATTCTGCGTTGAATCGCTGATCCCCCACTTTTACAGGCCCCACTCATCCACAATTCCCTCAAAGAAATAATAATAATAAAAATAAATAAAAAGGTCCTGCAGTCGAGCGTGACGAGGCCAGGCCAGGCCAGGCCAGGCGAGGCGAGCGAGGGCGGAGGCACCGCGGCACAGCGGGGATCCAAAGTGGCGTGCGGTTGGGGCAGGCGGGGAGCTTAGCCTCCCCTCCGCAGCCACCCCCGCGTCAGCCGCGTCCCAGGAGGAGGGAGGAGGCTGAGGAGGAACCCTCAAAAGAAATCTCGGGAATGAGAATGCAGGCCGAGCAGCGCCGTGCATGCTGCTGTGTGCACGATTCAATGTCCCGCCCAACGCATTCCCCGGGGACACGGAATAAGCCCACCCATCCTTTCCGATGCCACCGGAAAGAACTGCCCGCAGTAGCAGATAGATAAAACACTGTAGATTTTATTTAAAATGTTTGCCACGCGAGCGGCAAAGTGTTGCGGCGGCGGCGCCTGAAGCGTCTGCGGAACGGCGGCATTTCGCAGCACTGAAACATTCTTTTGTGTTTTATTTCCCACTTACGAGCCTCACAAGTGCCGCGGGGGGTAGGGGTGCGGGAGGGAGGGGGTGAGAGAAGGGTAAGCGCCCTATCACGAGCAAAGCTGGAAAGGGGAGAGGGTGGAGTGAAGGGGCGGGAGGAGGAGGAGCAGACGACACCAGACAAAGGGGTTGTTGGACCAACACTGCTGAGAGCGACAGTGAGAGAAAGAGGGGGCGGGAGATGCGGGATAATTGAGCAAGGGAGAGCAGGCGAGAGAGAGGGAGAGGAGTAGGCCTAGTGCGAGGTGAGAGGCCTCTAGAGTGAGAGCCCCCCCCCCCCCCCCTTAGGGCTCAGTCGATAAACGCGCGGCGCTACCCCGAGCGAGAGAGTGAGTGAGACAGAGAATGGGGGGTGAGAGAGACAGAGGGAGTAGAGAGAGGCGATATGCCAGGCGCCCCGCTAAAACCACGCGCGCCCCCGCGCCGGGCATCTCCGGGAGTTTAGGCCCCCAGAGAGAGAGGGACCCAAAGCAGACGGGGGTGGCGTGGAGTAGCGTGGCGAGGCGGGGCGGGGCGTTTGGAGCGTCCTTTACAAACGCACCGCAAGCAACGCATACATAAAGGCAGTCAGTGCGGGGATGGGGTGGGGCGTGGCGGGGTCGGGTGAGGTGATGTGGGGGGTGAGGCGGGGTAGGGGACCTTGCATAGGGCCTAAGGCCACGCCGCCGGTCGGTTCGGTTCGGTTCCGATGGGGAGTACACACAGCAAGGGCCGGGCCAATGCTCCCCGCGGGCGCACCCCGCCCCGCCCCACCCAACAGACAGACGCCCCCCGCCATACGCCCTGCGCGCCAGACAGACTCTCCCCCCCTCTCGCGCTTTGGTCCGCCGTGGTCCACGCCCGCAGCACCCCAAAACTCACCCCCCATCCCCCGTTCATTCCAGCCCCTGTATATACGTGAGAGACAGACGAGGGGGGGGGGCCGTGGGTCGGGTAATATTAAAGGGTAAAGACCCAGACAGACGGCGGCGGGGCGGGCGGGGCGGGCGGGGCGGCGCCGGTGAGCGGGCGACGTGCAGGGGCTGCTCCGTACTCTCAAACAATCCCATCCCCTCCCACCGGGGCGTGGGCCTCCAGCAGGGGGGGGGGGGGGTGACAGACGGGACGGACAAAGTTTTCAAATTTTCCCGCTCGTTCGCGCGCGCGCAAACGCTTAAATAAACGATGACGAGACGAGAGGGGCAGAGCAAAGCAGGGCGCGGGCGCGGCGCGCGGGGCCCCTTTTCCCTTTGCTTGCCTTTCAAAGCGGGCATGACATCGCACGAGCTCCAAAGTGCACAGAGCAGGGCGTACACCTCGTTCAGGAGAAGAAGAAACTTCCGTCCGTAGACAGTCATCTGGCGGGCCCCTTTTCTTTGCAAACTTTCTGCCTACGCCACCGCAGCGCGCGTCTTTTGAACTTCCGCGTCATTACGCCTCGGCAGGGACACCTTGTGTGTGTGAAGAGGTAGGGGAAATGAGGGGGAAGGGGGTACGTCAAAAATGAGGTGGGTGAAGAATTGCGGTGAGGGGGGGGTGGAAGGTAGGGTGGGAGGAGAGCCCTGAAATAGGAACGTGCGACATCCCAGAGCAGCAGCAGGCACCTCCTCGAGCGCGCCCGGCTGTGTCCTATTTCTAGGGGGAGAGATGGGAGGAAAGGGGGGAGAAGATGGGGCGGCGAGGAGGGAAGGAGAGGGGGAGAGAGGAGGTGCAGCAGGCAGGGATCATAAAGTGCAACCAACAAGCAACTGCTACACTGCGCTGCACTGATGAGGTCGACCCCTGCCCCTGCCACACATAATGGGGAAGCAAAGGGGCGGGACAGGGCCAGGGGGGAGGCAGGAGAGGGGAACAGAGGGAGGGAAGGGGTCACTCTGCGCCTCCTGCTCCTCAGGTGAGCTGGGCAAACGCTTTTAAGTCCCTCTCATACAGTCTTGCTGCGCCCCGGAGCTGCTGCTGCTACGCCTGTTTGTCGAAAGGTCATACCTGCCTTGCCCTCCCCCCCCCC